TTTCAGTTCAATCTTCTTTTGACCAAATAGACCAAATAAAATACCACCTTCCTGAGTATTTACCTTTATTACGGAGTTTGACATAACTGAAAACAACATTATTGTTAACTGCTGCTGTATGATGCCATACGCAGAGTATAAAACAGCCTCAAAGTGGGTTATCAATGATCAAGCTGATTGTGCTTGTAAAACTGACAGATAGAAAATCTATCTTTTCACTTAGTTACTTGAGTAAAAAATCATATGAGTAGTAAAGGATGTTTTTGTTAGTATATATTTCATCCATTGTAATGAAATGGACTCATAGACTTCTGGTAAAACCGTATTGTATTGTTTGTTCATTAAATTGGAGCACATTCATGCCACACCCCTGTCTGCACCCCCCTCCTCTCTGATTTGGTGTCTGTCTGCTGGCCCCACCCACTTCATTCATTATTAGCTTCACCTGTTCTTATTTGAATCTCTGTATTTCTCAGTATGCGTACTTGACCATACTTGTGTTCTCGTGTGTCCGTCTTATGTCATCCTCCATTGCTGATGACCATTTCCAATACTCAAGAAAAGAAGTACAGAGGACAGTAAAAATCCCTGGATATGCTCCCCCCCACAAATATGAAAGATACATCAAAACTGAACGAGACCAATCCAATTATTCATTGAGTCCAAGTTCGTTCTTGGAAGACAAGTTAGCAAGACCAGTCTTGCCAAGACCACAAGTGCGATCTTTGTGTTCTTGGTATTGAGAACGACCCCTATTTGAAGCCTCCTATGTTTTTCCATGGACTTTGTGAGATCCCTGAGCTAGATAGCTGGGCTTTTAAGTCATTGATTGTTTGCAAGTTGGCCTGCATAATTAGGTTCTGAGTCTGCCTTGCCTGTCGGAGCATATTTGACCTTGGATTGTTCTTTGTAAAGTTGTTGTTTCCAGTAAAGACATTTCTGCAATGACATCCTAATGTCTCTGTGGGCTTTGTACGTGATGCTTCATGACTAAATACGCATCTAATGTTTGCGCTCCAGAACTGTCTGAAGAGAAGAGTCTGCAGCCATTTCAAGACCCTTGTAAACAGAGCCTTGGATGCAAAACTATGCTATATAAACCTTAAACATACGAACCTTCACTGTACTTACTGGCAATAATCAGGCAGTTCAGGAATTTTCCTGGTGAGCCAGTCTTTCTTCCCAAATCCTGACATTATAGTATATCATTATATAGGGGTACCCAACCCGTCGTTCGATGTCAGCGTGTTTCTAGGTCCATTGCAGGAGATGATTAATGGATAATGCTTTATTTCATTAGCAGCCAACCAGTTCATTGTGACCGAGGGGACCAACCGGTCCCCCTTTCTCCCCGGTAAGCATCAAATTCCCAGGCTGCTTTTTGTTGCCAGTCCACCCCTGGCCATAATAGATCAATCTTGTTATGATGAAGCTGAAGCTGCTCTTAATGCTTTGTTATATTGGGGGGGCTTGCACCTTCCACTTGTCTTGTTTTACAAAAGTAACATAAATCTGACTGAGGACATTACAACTACAAACACATTGTGAAGGTAAATTGCAGTAACGTGTTCCCCTGGGAACACAAGGTGATCTATGATAATGCATTGTACTACAGTCTTTACCCAGTTACACAGCTGGATATTACACAGGAGCAGCTCAGGGAAGGTGTTGCTCTGCCCAGGACATTGGTGTGTAAGCTCATGTCATGTAAACACTAAATGCTATGCTAAAGCCCATGTAATGAAAATGGTACATGCTATGCTAAAGCCCATCTCATATAAACCCTAAATACTATGCTAAAACCCATGTAGTGTATATACTACATGCCACGCTAAAGCCCATCTCATGTAAACCCTAAATGCTTTGCTAAAGCCCATGTAATGTAAACACTAAATGATACGCTAAAGCCCATGTAATGTAAATGCTACATGCTATGCTAAAGCCCATCTCATGTAGACCCTAAATGCTTTGCTAAAGCCCATGTAATGTAAACATTAAATAATACGCTAAAGCCCATGTAATGTAAATGCTACATGATATGCTAAAGCCCATGTAATGAAAATGGTACATGCTATGCTAAAGCCCATCTCATATAAACCCTAAATGCTATGCTAAAACCCATGTTGTGTATATACTACATGCCACGCTAAAGCCCATCTCATGTAAACCCTAAATGCTTTGTTAAAGCCCTTGTAATGTAAACACTAAATGATACGCTAAAGCCCATGTAATGTAAATGCTACATGCTATGCTAAAGCCCATCTCATGTAAACACTAAATGCTGCATTAAAGCCCATGCTACATAAACCCTAAATTCTGTACTAAAGCCCACATCACGTGAACAGTAAATGCTACGCTGCACGTAGCCTGCCACCTCCTGCCTGATAGCACATGGATGGAGAGTATCCTCTTACAAATGCTTTGTAATGGCACTTCAGAGACAGGAGACTGGTTGCTAAAGCTCCTTTTCAAAAATCTGTGTGCTTGTTACTGGAAGCTGGATTTGTTTGCAGAAAGGCTACAAATCCATGATTAAAATAACATGGCATTTTGCTCTAGAGCAAACATTTCGCTCTGCAAGTGTGTGTATAGGGTTAAATCTCTGTTACGCTGGTGGGAAAAGAAAAACTCAGGAAGGCATTTGATTCTTGGGGGACCATGTAATATATTTTCCAGGGTTTATCATTAAACTGATTACTGAACACCATAGGAACAGTCCATTGGAGCTGTTTCAGTTTCCCCCATACCAAATGAACACAGGGGCCAGGGCATAGAAACCTGTGGGAGGGGGGGTGATGTGTACCCCACTAATATTCAATTTGACTTCATTCACCCCCCCCCCCCACCCAAGAAATTGGTCTTTGTATTTAAATTAAATTATGCCACCCCCATATCAAACTCTCTCCTAAGCCGCTGACTGGGGCTTCTCTTGTCTTATAGCCAGAGATCTGTGCAGTGTCATAAACAAAAGCATATTCTTCTTGTAAAACTCATAGCAGCCCACTATGCACACAGTAGCTATTCACCAAACAAAAAAAGACTCTTTTTCACGCTACCTGGCCTTCTGAAGTACAATAACATTGATTTTTCACAAGGGCACGGAGACAGCACAGCTCAGACACGATGCGCCGACTGTTGTCCTCTCTGCTGACGATGTGGGCTTTGAACGCTCTGAACATGCCAGTACACAGCCTCTTCAGACAGATAACTTTTTAACCTTACAGCCTCTTCTTAACAGATAACTTTTTAACCTTACAGCCTCTTCTTAACAGATAACCACTGTGTGGCCAAATCAGGTCCCACATTCACCGCGGATGAACAACTGCCTGGGAATCACATTCATCCGGAATGGAAATACCGATTTTCAAATGGAGACTGTTTTACATATTAAGCAGATGCTTTTATCCAAAAACATGTACAATTGAGAAAGCAAGGTCAGACAGTCTATGGAGCAATCGGCACTCAGCAAGGTCAGACAGTCTATGGAGAAACTGGCATTGTGCCAACACAAGGATCTGAACCAATGACCTCCTGATTACAGGCACGCTGCCTGAACCCACTGAGGTACAGACCCCTGGTTTAAAGGGTTGCTTAACCGAATATTAATCATCTTTATATGAGCATTTTACATTTTGATGGTTCTTATAAAATAACTGTTCATACTGTTTAACCAAATGTGTATCTGTTAAAAAAAAAAATGGCGTAATGATTTGTAATGCGTGCTTTGAAATATACTATAAGGTTCTCCACCGTCCTGTGGACGTAGAGCTGGAAGGTTCTGTGATCTGGGTGACAGAATTTAAGTATCAGTAAGAAAAATATATGCTGCCAGAATGTGAGTATGTGAATGGGAAAGCTGTATGACATGGCTCGCTGGGTCCTACCCGGCGTGTCATTTAGACCTGGCATATAGAGGCCAGTTGTATGTGCATGTCGATTACGCAGAAGGACGTGCCAAATCCTGGAAGCAGCAACCCCCCCCCCAAGAGGAACACGCTCGATCACATGACCATGGACAGCAGGGTCTCTGAGAAGCATGAGGACAGGGCAGGTCGGATGCTGAGGGGGATGCTGAATGTTCATTAAACACGATTGTAGATGTGATGAGGAATAGCGTCATGCTCATTAGCGTGGGCTAAATATTCCAGAAAAGCACGTGAGCTCAGCCTATTTTTAACGCTGTGGAAACGCGGTAAGAGCATTTCACACCAATCAGCTTACGATGTTCAGCTCAGCGCTGGTCAAAATGCAGAAAAACATATTTAATAATTTGAGGATGATACACGTCTTACATATAAAACAAACAAAAAAAAACTGCAATGCTGGTCTTGCACATGATAAATCACGGTCTGGATCAGTTCCTCGTGAGATGTTTCGAGAGGGACCAGTGAGTCAAGGCAGGTTCCCTGAAAACCTGTGATAATAGTTCAAGGCATGAAACTCTCTTTAAATGGTCAGGTCCTTTATAGCTTACTGGGGGTCCTGACCCCCCCCGCCCCACACACACACACACACACACATTTTTAACTTTGCAGTCCAGGAACCCTGACCAGGATAAGAGGCTGGATAGCTGGACAGATTGCTAATATTTAGCATTGTTAATACACAGTAGGCAAAAGTGTGGTTTAGCGTTTACTCCTCAACCATTTCTAAGGTTCAAGTTAAATATATTTTTGGTACTGAAGGCATAATAATGTTCATTGGTGGGTATAGGCTTACAGTTACACACTTACATTCTTTGGTTATATTCCTATCCTGTGCTGCTGCTTGCATTCAAAAGCAAAGTGTTGTTTGGAGCATCATTAATATTTGCTTTAGTTGAAATAATGGCATGACAGGCCTTGTACCACAAATAGTACGGATTTAAAATAGCTGTAATTACTGACAATACAGTATAGTTCATTGTTTAAGCTAATTATGCCGTGTGCTAAGAAGAAGAAATGCGCAGAGTTCTGATTTTTGTTAAAGGGGATTGTTATAGTGGTGGTGGTGATGGAGAAGTGAGGGGATGCGTGCTCAGCAGCCGAGGCGCCGATTCCCCCCTTCCCATCCCAGCCTGCGCCGCCCCTACCGAAGCCGTCTCTGCCCATCTTCTCCACGCTCACCTGCCCCTGCGGTCGCCCTCGGACGTGTGATGTGCGGCGCCCCGGGGCGCCTTCCCGCGCTTCTGTAGCCTCACAGCCGACGCCAGAGGCGCACAGACTGACAGCGCTGCGCATTTTCGCCTCTCCGAATCCGTAAAATAATCCCCCTTTTGGAGAGAATGACGGGGAAATGGCAAACGCAATACTGTACGCATAGAAGGCAAGAAGAAACAAACCGGTCTAATTTATGATACAAGTACAATCTCAGCTGCCATTTCACCGGGATCCTTTATTCCGCAGAAAGGTACGTTGGAGATGTGTTGTCAGGCTTTTCTTTTGGGTTTATTTGCCTGTTACCCAGGTTTCTGGTTTTCATGAAGGTTTGGTTTGTCAGGACGCTTGGTTTAATTTTCCGGTCCGGATCGGGCTTGTCCAGCGGATTTATGAATGGGAACGAACCTCAATGGGTTTAAGGTGCGACAGTCAAATACATTTTAATTACCCCACGCAGTATCCATGTACGGAACATTTATTATCTTTAATTGTTTACCGAGCGATGCATTCTGTCCTTTGCAATTAGGAAATTCGACGCTTATATCCGTTATTAAAATAAAATAAGAATAACGTTTTGGAAAACCGTTAGTGGGCATTTTCGGAAACATACACAGTTTTACAAAAGAAGTATGTCGCATTTTTAAACACTAACCATACTAATCGCATACGTGCTTCGGATTTTTAACTTAAAATCATAATCACCGAACTCAGAATTATATAATTATACAAATGCAACACTACATCAAAGCAAACTGGCTTTATATTACTGTCCGGTTTTTATATCACTCTATAAATCAATTTCAACAAGGTGTAAAGCATGTGTGCTGCCTGTTTATTTAGTGAAATATTTGGGTCAGAAGATTAAGATGTCATATTTGATGCGAAACCGATTTAAGTCAGTATTTTCCCTCCGGTGAAGATGTCTGTTCCCTGTACAACGTGTCCTTATAAGCGTTCAGCTAAAGTGCCACCGAAAGACAACAAAAATAAAATGCTGACGAATGTATAGGCGAATTAAAAAAAAAAAAAAAGTAGCCTAACATTGATCATTAGGGGGTACCCTGCCGAAATTAAGCAAGGAGAAGGATGGGGGAGGGGTCCGGGAGTTCACGCAGGGTGTCGCCCTCTTGTGTTCATTTTGAGTGGTGCGATGGTATAGCGGTAATAATTCACATGTTATTCATTATCGAACTGGCTTTCAATTACGGTTACTGTGAAACAATTAAATGCCTAATATTAGGTTTGGATTCTGCGTCGATGTTACAAAGTAACGGCGTTACGCATGAAGAATAAAAAACGTCAAGTAACTGCGTAGGCTTATGGTGTCTTACGTGGTGGTTTTATTTTGTGATCTCGGTTTGGTTTTATAGTTATGCGTGTTTATTTTTTTCCTGAACCGATCAAGGATCCAGACATCACAAATCAATAATCTGTAACATTAATTGCAGGTGGACCGTTTTGATCACTTTAAATAACATATAAATTTATCGAAAAATATTAGACTGCATTTCTGAGAACTTGTTATAGTGTATTTCCTAAATTTCGTACTAGATGATAATCCCAGTAAACGACATTGATATTTTTAGTTGATTTTTTAAAAGACTGCTTTAACTGTTCTTCACTGAATCATACTAATGGTAACCTATTATACGAATTACAAATTAGACACATTTTCTGAGGAGTGTCTTCGCTTGGCTCCAACACAGCGGCTTTTTCACAGTCACGGTGAAATTTCACTTCAAGTGAAATAATTTTTGTCCTATCTGATTAAATCAGTCTCACCGTCTTTGCAGAATAAGCGGAATTTAATTATATAAATTTTAAACATGACTTCATGAGAGAAAGAGAGAGAGCGACATTGCAGGATCACTGAGGCGATGAGCACATAATTATGTAACCAGGCCGTCTGTGTTTTAAAGCCCTTTGGCTACGTCTGTAAGCAAACGAAAACCTTCAGATTATCTGTGCTTATTCAGTGACCGTGCAGTATGAAAACAGAAATCCATCTTAAAGAACTGCTTATCCAGCACAGAGTCATGGTGGGCCTGGAGCCTAATCCCAGGAGGGAAACCTCGGATGGGATACCAGTGACAGCAATTCAGATTTTAGGGAGTAAATAAAGTGTTTTTTATCTGAAAAAAAAATCTGCAAAGCATGCATGTTATCTAAAAGTTTGGTTTCTTTTAAGCTGAAGGGAAATGGACCCACCGTTTATGCAGTCGTATGGAATGAAGAAGAGAGTGAAGATCCACCCCAGTACAGTGACGGTGAAGTATGACACCCATTTCCCCCAGCCTGGGGATGAGGACTATGACGACGCACCCTCGTTTGAAGACTTTGGCTCTTTCGTGGATGACAATCCCAACAGGAGACTGATGGAGGAGAACAAGCAGGGTAGGACTTTCTTTGGTAGCATAGATACCCGGCCGAGGTCCTCTGGTGGCTGCAGGGACAATGAAGTGGGCGAGCAGCTGGCTAGCTTTGGGGAGGCCTCTGTGTTCACCTCGCGGGTCACCTGGGCTGCTCTATTCGGGGCAGCGGTCGCCCACGGTTGCGTGGCCCTCATCACGCGCCTGGCAGCTGACCGCTCCAAGGTGCCCTCCCTGGAGCTGCTCTTCATCCGCTCGGTGATCCAGGTCTTCTCCATCGTGGTGGTCTACTACTACCAGGAGGCGCCCTTCGGGCCCAAGGGCTACCGGCTGCGTCTCTTCTTCTATGGCGCGTGCAACGTCATCTCCATTACATGCGCCTATACTTCCTTTGCCATCGTGCCACCCAGCAATGGTACCATCATGTGGCGAGCCTCCACCACCGTCTTCAGCGCCGTGCTGGCCTTGCTGCTGCTGGACGAGCGCCTGGGCTACGTCGACGTGGTGACCGTCGTGGGCAGCGTCTTCGGCCTGTGCCTGGTCATGATCCCCAACATCGCGGAGGAGGATAAGAGCCCGCTGGGCTTCTGGAAGGAGGCCTTCGGCTACACCATGACCGTCATGGCCGGCCTGACTGCTGCCCTTTCCATGATCGTCTACCGGGCCATCAAGGAGCGAGTGAGCATGTGGACGGCCCTCTTCACGTTTGGCTGGACGGGGACCGTGTGGGGTGCGTCCACCATGTTCGTCATGCAGGAGCCCATCATCCCTCTGGATGCGGAGACGTGGGGCTACCTCACCGGCATCTGCATCTGCTCCACCGTGGCGTTCCTCGGGGTCTACTACGCCCTGAACAAGTTCCACCCGGCGCTGGTCAGCACGGTGCAAAACCTGGAGATCGTTGTGGCCATGGTCCTGCAGCTCCTCGTCCTGCGTATGATCCCCTCTGCCTACGATGTCATTGGCGCCTTGGTCATCATGGTCAGTGTTTTTGGCCTGACAGCCGTCAAGCTCAATTGGGTGGGAGGCAGGAGACAAGAATATGAAGAAATCCTCGACTCACCCGTTAAATGAGGGCCGTGCCCTTGCGTGTCGCCTCTCTGCCAGGTGGCCTTCAAGCTGATTGATCGATTTGTCCATTTTGTATCGTGCTGTTGATAGAGTTCCAGTTGTGTGCTTGTCTTTGATAAATGTACGTGTGAAATTACAGTGGTCCATGGTACTCTCTTCTTATGCAAGTTATTTGCACACTTAATATCAAAGCAGACCACCTGTTATATCTACATGTGTCGCCAATGCGTATCTGGTGACTGAACATCATGCACAATGAACCTATGAAGACCACAGACCTCCTTAATAGGTGTAAGGAGGGATGATAATGTAACCTTTTCTCTTCTCTTCGTTTCATATCGACTGAAGTTTCCGCTGTCAAATGCATTGTCAGGGAAGTGTTATTAATTACTGAAGGAAGTCTGTGTCAACTAGGGAAATCAATACTGATCTTCAATAGATGAATTGAGAGTAAATTAAATGTGGCCTGACCCGTTATTTCGTATCTGTCCTGAACTGCTGGTATCATTATTGCAAGTATTATTGCAATTACGAATAAAGGACTGTTACAGTATGTTGTAATATTTGTGAAACCCTAATTTTGAGTCATTTTGCATCAGAATCAATGCAACCTTATGGGGTCCAGCTAATGAAATTTAAGTGGTGTCAATTCTTTCAACTTTTTTATGTTTTAGTGAACGTTGTCGTGAAGCTATAATTGAGCGTGTTCTCCTGAATTACTCTTCAAGAGGCTGACTAAGAATAAATAGGATTTCAATATGCGCCACCAGGTGGCGCACTTCAGCCAAAAATGTAATATTATAATATGTTACAGCTATGACAATTACTTGTGAGTTAATAAAACACTGTCGTTGCTGTTGAAATTTATGTAACTGGGAGCAATTCAAAATTATGGTTTTCAAATAAATTTCCATTGCCTGCCATGTATTTTGTCACCTAAATTGGTGCATTCAGAAACTGCAAAACCACTTGAATCAAAATATTTTGAAGATTTAACGTTGTATTTTACATGCATATGTACTGCTTCAAATGTTCTGCAACAACTGTACATCAAAAGAAGTCACATGATGGGGAATATGAAAGCAAAGGATTTTTGTCATTTTCCGAAGCTTGTTGGCACATTTATGCACCTGTGTTATAAGAAATATTTCAGAAAGAATGACACTGATCAGCAGCCTGTGGTTTCCTGTTCTAACACTAGCAATATAAAATGGGAATAAGCATCTATTTGCATGGGAAATCGGTCATATCATATGATGTAAGGTTTGCTCAAGCAAACAGTCCTGGCACCATGGTAACTCCTTACTGTAGGTCCCCAAAAAACACACGGCTCCTTGTCCATGTGAAGAAAATGCCTTATTCATTTTTTCTCTGTAAGACTATTATGGGACCAGGTCATGTAGAGGTCTGTTTTTACAGGATCCAGGCATGCCCTGTGGCTGCAGCACAGTCATACTCCTAATACCTTGTACTGTTGCTGTAGGAAGTGTGCTGCTTCCTTCCTGTGGGTGGGGACCTGTCTGTCCAACCACAGGCCAGAAAATAGACCCCTGCTTAATTTACATATTAATCTACCACTGAGCTTCAAGGTCACTGCTCCTATATAAAGTACAAAGCACAGGAAAAAGTCAAACAGGAGAAAGGGACAACGTACAGATGCATCATGGGTAGGATGCATATGCTTCCCAACATTTTATTCTAAAATGCTCGCCAGCACCCTGGTTTTATTACTCATCAGCTGCAGGTTGCTTCCAGGTTCAATATTTCTAAGACTGCAGTATGCAAGAACAATGTGAAGCGGGAGACACTGGCAAAAAATCAAAAATCATCTAGGTAAATGGCAGAAGTGACCTTCTAATGCCAGAGATGACCGTTAACTTCTCATGAATTGGAGAAAGACATCAAGTGACCTTCAAAAGTAATGGGATACATTACGTGTAAGTGTGAAGTGCACTGTTAGGACAGTTCATAAGAGGGTCCGAGAAGCAGGACTGAAGTCGCATAAAGCAAGGAAGAAGCCCTTCATCAACGAGAAGCAGGGAAGAACCAGGCTGGAGTTTGCAAAAAATATATATTATTCACAGATGCACACTCATAAATTGAGAAATGAGTGAAGCAAAAAATTGTGCTGTGGTTTCTTTTTTTTTTTCTAGGGCTGTATATCCCCATAATGCACCACAATTCAGGTATAAACTGTGCTTCTAAAGCAATGAGTGTTCCACAAACGCACAAATACAGTAAGTCAGTCAGGCTTTTCCAAGGATGCAGAACATCTTTTGTATCTTTTAACACACTTTGGCAGACTCTCAACCTGTCGTGCACCGTTCAGCAGAAAATCCTGCCCTGCAGACACACAGAAAGCCCCATGTACTCTCACAGCATTCATCTCTTACTGTGGTGCTGTTTAGAGTAATGACTAAAATTATAAAAACAGCATGTTTGTTTAAAGGAGTATTACCTTGGCAATGCTCTAGTGGAGTCCAAAATGAAGACAAAAAATGGTCATTCACACACATCATCCTGCATTCAGGAGAGGCAGGGTTATCGGCATGATAAGTCTGACATGATGCTATGCAAGACCTAAGATTTACTGCAGAATAGTGCAGGTACCCAGGCAGATGCATGCACAGACACATGCGTGCATGCAACACAAGTATGCCCGGAGGAAACTATTCACGCCGCTGCATAACAAAAGCACTGCACTGAGAAGAATGTGAAAATCTGTGTGGCAATCAGTGTTCACATTGATTTTTTTAATGACTCTTCTTACAGTGTGCAACACGTCCTGAAACATTCAGACTGCAAAAGCAATGATGTTATGCTAATGAAAGGCCTACTCGAAATGAAAACTCAAAATTCGGCATTACTGTGGATTTAACAGCTTGTTACTTGTGTAGCACATTAACTGAACTTCGCTTGTGTTCATATAACTCTTTATAATGCTTTATAGAGAAAATAACTACTGTATTGTTTAATGACTGTGAACTGTAAATAATAGGCAATTTTATTTGTTAGTGAAAAAAAATGGAATTAAGTTACAGTCAAGGAACTGTGAATCATTTACAAAGGTTTTTGCATGCACAGAGTGCATGGAATGATTATCAGACCAGCCTCTCCAGTTTGTCTTCTGATCCCCAGTTCCCGTGAGACTGGGAGACTGACTTCACAGCTGAAACAAGGGCAAAGGCTGCTTGATGCTCATGGGGGGGGACGACACTGGCACATACGAAGAGTGGTTAAAAATAAAGGGATGACTCATTGCTGAGGACAATTAGCTGCCAAAGAGGATTGGGGACACAAAGTGATAGAGTAAGAATGTGTTATGTTAATGAAGCAAACAATGCAGGTAAAATGCTATAAAAACCCATGTTCTACTGTAAATCTGAATGCACTTCTGCACATTTTATCAGTCCGTATTGTTTTCTGGTGGGAGACCATCGCCACCAGCAGCAATAGCAATCATAATGAAAGACAATAAGTATAATGTGCTATCTATCTATCTATCTATCTATCTATCTATCTATCTATCTATCTATCTATCTATCTATCTATCTATCTATCTATCTAATATTAAGCTTCAACTGGCTTGATTTATTTCGTAATTATATCACATTATATCTCTCGGTTAATAAATAAAGGCCATATTTTGTTCTAGTGCTAGCTGTAATAGCATTTATTCTGGTTCAGCTCCTAAAAACCCATTCTTGCACCCTACAGTTATAACCCTGCAGTCCACTCCAGCTTTTTCCAGAAAACTGGACATCAGTTAATGCGAAAGGGCGGAACCAAAAGCATTTGATGGACGAAGCCAGTGTCAAATAGGAGGAAGGATAGTTCACGCTATTAGCCAATAGGACTCAAGCTGGGAGGAGCCTCGTGCTACGTTAGACCGACGAGCGCGTCGCATTGAGGCGCGTGCGGCGAAGCGAGCGGACTGGGCATTTGTGTCATTTCGTCTACGTATTGTTTCATTTTCTTCCTTTTTAAATATCTAAAAAGCCGACCTGCGTGTCCATTTCAGGTAAGCTGAGTGAAAACTATGTATTTTATTATGATAACAGCCGAAGCTTGTATTGTACATACGGCACGGGATCAGTTTTTAATGTGGTAAAATCCCCACGGGTACGAACTTCATGCGATTTTTAAAATGAATTCAGCCAATATTACTGTTTCTCGATTAATTGTGTGCTGTGATTATTGATAAGTGGTTTGTTTCCGTCTTTTTCTGTGCTGGGACCCCCCCCCCCCCCCCTTTTAAAGCACATGGTGTGAGGTATTTAAGGTATTTACTTCACAAACTGCAGTGTGGGGGGCAAAGGGGCTGGAACCTAAATTTATCTTTTGGATTAGATTAAATGCGATTTAACTTTATTGCCATTGCTCAAAGTACAAGTACTCAAACAGCAACTTGCGATTTGGCATCTATTTCTTGCAGAATTGCCAGCAATAGTTGTGTATTGTATACATGTGTGACCAATATCAGAGATATGGATAGGATAAATAATGGGTATACACAGCATCTGTGATTGCAGAAAAAGGATAATGAGAGTTTCTGTGCTGTGTATTATTTTGGGACCTGATAGGTTTTACTGGGATTAATGGCTTTGTGGGGGAATTGGAATCTTCCACAGTGTCATTATGTGGTTCACTCCTAAGATGAGTTTTGGTGTGTATTGGGAATCAGGGAAGTAATGAATTAAAGGTTTGGGGGTGTTTTAATTGTGTCCTTAATGGTTAGACTGGAGTGCTTTCTGCTGCTGATAACAGGCACAAGCAAAGCCTGGCAGCACAAGTCTTTACCTGAGGCATTCATGTCAGGTAATGATGGGTTCCTGTTGTTTCACAACTGTAACCAGAAGCCTTATTTTGCACCAAAACTATTGTAAATCTCTGAGGAAAACCATTTACATCACTCCTGGGTTGATTCAGTTGGTCACTGTGCCTCAGTTTTCCTCAAACAGGTCCAGTCAGCAGTTTCAAAACAAAATGTCAGAGAAACCGATTCTGATCATAGTGCCGGCAATCTTACAGTGGAAAGATATCAAAAGGAAAAAGCCAGTGTCATGTGACTTACAGCTTTGTATGACAACAGTGGTTTTTTTCAACCTCTTGACATCTCTGCCTTTATCACATCTGGATATACTTTGCAAAAATACTTTTCAGTTGTCCTTGCTGCTGTTCTAGCTCTGAGCATATATACCAAATTATTGAACCCATCTTCTGGCCCCATTTCCCTTCGCAGAGGGGTTCTGGTGAAACTCTGATAGAGGCAGACAATGCTATAGATTAAATAGGTATTTTTAATTGCTGAAAGGGGAAAACAATGACTTTAACAAGACCGAGTAGCGTTTGGTAAAGGAAATGGAGTAATTCCTTAAAAAAACATTACTGTGACATCCTTGAGGACATTTCTTATTGCTAGATTTTGACATCTTATCCAAATGTATAAAATCACAAGGGAGAATAGTGGATGAATAGGCAGCGGGATGAGTGTGTTGGATTTTGGCTCATTTGCTCAGCCCTGGGGATTGTGGCTGTAACATCCACAATACTACCCCCCCCCCCCCCCCCCCAAAAAAAAAAAAAAAAAAAAAAAAGCTACGACGGGTGGGGGTGGGGGGTCGTCTCTGTGCACTGCTTTGTTCTTGCAGGAACATGCCATGGTTTATCCCCCTGCAATGCAGAGGGCGGCCTATGCATCGTTAATGTGACAGGCATTACAGACACATAAATGGGCGGGGCTCCGTCCCCAGAGCTGGAAAGCATCGCCCGTGACAAGGCCTGTTAATGGGTAATAAGGCACATGAAGTGCTTCACTGTGCAGAAAGGGCGTTGCTTTGGCACAGCTGGCGTGGCCATGCAGTAATTATTCAGAAACCTATTGACAGATACCCATTAATGCTGAGCCCTTATAGAAGGAGTC